TCATATATCATTTAAAGCAGCACTGTAGTTATTTTCATTTAAAAACGAGAAAATGGTCCATTTATAAAATAAACAATCAATATTGATACCATATAAAAGAAATTCACTTAAAAAAGCACTCTAGAGTGTACTAGTAAAAACATGTATATTGCGTTCCCCTGTTGAAGCATGTTTGTTATGGAGGAACTCGACACAAAAACCAATAAATCAAACAAACAAACAAACAAACAAACAAACAAACGAACAAACGAACGAACGTACTAATGAACAACAACAAAAACATCAACAACAAAAAACCGAAAGAGAAAAAAAAAACTGAAAACAAAACAAACACGGAAACAAGAAATAAAAGCAAAAATATGAATATCGAGCAAAGCAGGATTTGATTCGGCTTTGTCTTGACCACTTAAAGTTTTCAGAAATATTGGTATTATGCTTATTGAAATACCTCGTTTATACTTTATAAGACATGGGTCCAAGGTAAAGTATTTTAGCAGCGAAACACCAGGACCAGAATAAATTGTTCACATCTTGCCTTCTTGTTTTAAAAATATTAATATTATGAAATCAGAAAACTTTAACAACACATAACAAACACTCTGCCAGAAATATACCTATAATCACAGGGATTTGAGGACTATGTTCTGTTACTGGAGATGTAATTGGAACTTTTTCCATATGGTGGGGTGAGAGGTGGGAGGTGAGGACAAAATTAGATGTTTATAGGTAAAGGTCAAATCTCAAAATGATAATAATAGAAAAAATGGAAATATATCACCGAGTAGAAATATTTTTGTTAAATATTATTTCACCCTGTGTAATATCGACATATTAATTCATCAACTTTAAAGAACAGTTTAAAACCTAACATATTCTCCTGTCCCTGTGCTTCTATAATCGGCAGTCACACGTTATACGTAAACAGGTCTGTTAATCTATCCTCTCAAATATCTGCTGAAATGAATATTTATTTGTTAGAATGTGCATTTTGTTGATTTTTACCACAACATTTCAATAAATGACAAAATAATTTTAGACTTTTTTTTAAAACTGGCAAGATTAAGCTAAACACAGCTTGCTTCATACAGAAACCTAATTATTTAGATCCCTGCTCCATTCAAGCTCTGAATGAAAGAAATAACTGTTCTACAAATAAGAGCAAGGTGTCTACAGGAGACATATGTTCATGTAAGTCACACCTCTCGAGAAGAGTAGCACGAATTGTTTCCTCGGAATGACGCGCGTGCTTTTTTTCACGGACATTCTTCACACATGGTTATACATACCAGCTTATCAATCCAAAAACAGAAGTAACGAAACACGTACAATATATACAGTATATACAAACTCCCCGTAAATATTTGTGTAAACATATATTTCATTTGAAATGAAACATTTGGGAAAAGATAGGTAAACACGCGAAAAAAAATATTTTCGAAAACCAAAGTTTACATCTTTTTTTTCAATTTATCTCGAAAACCTTGAAAATCTCAATTGAAGATAATCATTTCACAGAAATGTTCTCATTACTCTGATAATAGTATGATAATATATTCAAAGTCTAGACATGCTATTTGAAATACAAAAATCACTATGATTTCTGTTGCTTAGTTAATTTTTGAATTGAGCAAGTTATGATATGGCGGTTGTCTCCCTTGTATCAATTTTTACTCAAGTAGATTTTGTGAGGCAGTCGAGGATATCACATTTAACTTTTTTGAAGTCATCAATGGTTCTGTTTTTCTCATTTTTTTTACAGTGATCGCTGCATCAGTTTCTCAGATATTCCTACTGATTCTAACTACCTCAAATAAAACACAGCCAACTCCTGCCGAAAATGTCTTACTTTAAAGGGGAACTGCCTACAGTACTGTAAAATGACATTAACGTTGTCAATAAATTTATTGTATTGATGACACATGCATGTATCGAATGTCAAAGGTCAAAATGTGTTTTAGGGTCAGGGGTCAACATTCGAATTTCCCATAAGCCGTCACCAGATACGTCATTTATCCAAGTAATTTTCAATTTTCAATATACTAACAATTCGGATTGTTAGAGATATATAGTCATATATGACCACCCCTCAGTCGTGACCTTTATTATAACCCATGTTTCTAATTACGTCAAACAAAATATCCGATACTTTACGTCGCATATTTTTGTTCGTCTTTGTATTTTAAGAGTCTATTATATCGACACCCTGTTCAAATGCACTTTGACCATTTGTAAATACGAAATTTTGTTCGGACAAAAAATATTTGCAATTTGTTAAGGTTATAGTAAAGTTCCGCAATTTGACGGTGTACACTGCACAACAACGACAATATCATCATTATCGTGGTCATCGTCGTCGACGCCGACATGAGAATCAAAAACAACAACATGAGAAACAACAATATGAGAAACAAACAAACAGTTACATTCACAACTTACGTTTCTAAGTTAAAATGCTTTGAAAGGAGCACATGAATGAACATTCGTTTGAACATTGATTTATGAAAAAATTAAAACAAAAATGGTTCGACTCGGTTATTAAGACATTTTCATAACGAGTACCTGTTATATTCATAGCGATTTTCGGAATTTGATAACCAGAAATAATATCTCTTTGTAAGTGAACTCATCAAAATTTTGAAATAGTGCATTGGACTCTCCTAAAAATCACCAGAAAATTACTTTATTCAAATATTTCAATTTGCAACCGTCTGTTTATATCAGTCGTTATTCACAGAAAGCATAGTTTGTTTTATCCATGCACTGCATTGACTCAAATGTTATACTACAGGAAACACAAAATCTGTGGGAACATGTTTTCAATATCCCTTAAGAGAAGTATAAAAAGGAAGTTTCGACTTCCATGACGGGCCAAACATTTTCAACTTCGTCCGAAGCACAATTCCAACATTTCGGTCATTTCCGTCGCCGATTAATTCCGAGCCTTTGCGGAATAGACCGAAGAGCTGTGCCGATACCCTATATTTTGAGACAGTCATGAAGGTGATGTCCACGGATAACACCACTATGCCACTACATGCGTGACATTTCATATCTCTTCATTGTTTGAGGAATAATAAAATCAGAGTCACGGAAGGTGCTCCTACGTCACCAGTACAAAGGGATATAACTCTGCATATATACAGAAACATGTCTCTATCACAAAGCGATTGACATCCAACGTCATACAGAAATCAAATAAACAAACTGACTGACACACAGACAGACACGAAAGCCGTCGCTAGTTCTATTGTCAAATCCCAAGACCTTTCTACCGTGGCTGTTGATTCTATTGTTCGGTCCCTTTACGTCCATTTTGTTGCTGTTGATTTTATTGTCTACTCCTCGACGGATAAATACAACGGTTTCAATAGAAGCAAATACTAACATCATGGCCCTCGCATGACACGTGTTCATTGAGCTCGCCTGTTTATATACATGTTTGTTTGGCACACGACCGAGTCACTATTTCAGTGATGTTTATTTGTTCAGGATCATGGCATCATCACGCACGAGTGTTGGTCTTTCCATGACAGTTGGTTATGTATCATCGTCGAGAACTGACAGTCAAACCTCGGTATGTGTCAAAGTTACACATTTAAACCTCGCTACGTTCACGTCAGGACACTATAACTTCGTTTTGTCGAATTCATGACAGTCAAACTCTACTACGTACAAGTCCTGGCACTCAATCTCCGTTTTGTCGAAATTGTCACATCTCGCTATATCGAAATTGGTACATCCAAACTAAGCTACCTACAGATCTTGGCAATCTTCATTTTGTCGAAATCCTAAGTAATAATTGCCACGTTCAAGTCCTGATAGCCAAATTTCGTTTTGTCAAATTGTTACACGTCAAAGTTTGCTACGTACAAATTCCCGTTTTGTTCTCGTAGTGAAACATAATGTTAGGCCAAGTCTTGGTAGTCAGACTTCGTTCTGTCGATATCATGACAGTCAAACTTTGCTTCACCCACATCGTGAAAGTCGATCTTCTTGTACAGATCCCGACACGTTTGACTATGATGCAATGTTATGTCGCTTACAAGCAGAAGTGAAAATCAAATCTTGGTGTGTCAAGCACGTACATTTCAAAAGCAAAGCATCCTTTTGTCAAATTCAAGAGAGATAGATGTCGACGGCGAATCATTTGAGAAACTGCATTGATACATACTTGAGAAATTAACCATCGTTATAGTTCTCTTGAAATTAAGTTTGCTTCGCTATGTCTACTTCCGAATTACATCGTTTTTCTTCAAAGTACATAAAATAATACTAAGATTGAAAGTGTCCTGGAAGGGAAATCGTCGTTGACTTTAACAACAACAACATCCGTGTTGTGATTCTTGGTCAGACTGAGTAAGTAATGTCACATTCCTTAATGATAATAAGTTGATAATAACAGAAACCTTAGACCTATTTTAACGAGCATCAAACACGTCCAACTTCATATCGCACAAGAAAATACAATATTTCTCAACGAGGCCAAATTCGTATTAGCTGCCCTTTGTTTTTACATTGAGCGTTAAACAGGTGCCTGTCGTCAGTATAATATGACTGAGTGGGGTGTCAAGCTACCTCCGCGTTCAGGGTATATTCCAGAATTATCAAACTATGGAATTGCCCTCTATTTTCTGCCATTAATGGTCATCGTTCTGGTATAAACATTAAACTAACCAAACCTTCCGTCACGGATGACTACGTCAATTCTTCTTGAACTCTCTATGGTGTTTAACATTGTCAATGTGCCGTATCCCCCCCCCCCCCCGACCTAATTTCTTAATCTCAATTTTAATTTGTCATTTTCCTGTAGCATAAAGCATAATGTATGACGTAATGGCGACTAGCACTGTACGTAATCACGTCATTTGTTTCAAGACAGTAACAGTACTAGCTATCGAGGCGGAAAACAATAAGGCAAAGGAAAGTATTAAAATATCCTCGACAAGTTGCAGCGTTGTTGTTCAAAAACACAAAATTTAAAAGAAGAAAAATATATGTACCTGAACAGCTATTTGGACGGCGTTTCTCCGACCGGAAGTTGTTCATGTTTCCGGGAACTGAGGTGAAGGCCGCAAACACACGCATGCTGCAAATAAAGAAAGAAAGGTTAAAACATCGTCAGATGAAAGCAGTATAAACTGACATCCTAGTGAATGTAGAAAAAATACCAAAATGTCATACCTTGCATATTTCTTGTGTCATGCATTTGAACGTCAAACAAACGTGTTCGCTATATTGCACCTTGGCAAACTCAACTAATGTTTTCAACAGTATGTCATCAATTATTTCGTCGTCATTGACCTTTTGGTCAAAAGCAATACAATGTCATTGATCTCATAAACTAGTCGTCTGCTCACATGATTTATCCATATTGGCAGCAGCCACCGTTTCCACTAACGAGTGAGTGTTTTTGCCGTGCACCGTACTGGTTGCGAAGGGCGGTGGTTATGGTAGAAAAACCAAAATATGCCAACACGGCGATGACGTAAGAGTTTAAAATAACTTGAAAATGGCAAAAAACGAGAGAATATTAGCGGTGATATTAGGGCGCACGCGACAATGATCGGTCACATCGTTAACGCGATGCCCAGGAAAACATATACTCCCGTTGGCTTTAACAGTTAAACGATTTATCTGATTTCAGTCGTTTGAGGTTCCGAGGCTCCAAACGGGAACATCTGGCTTAGGGAGCTGTGAAATGGACGCCGACATGTGAGGAAGGCGTTAGCCTGTCACTGGAAGGAAGGGGTAATTGACAGAAAAAATGTCCTAAAACGCAATTCATTTGTTTCTGTCTGTTTTTAGTTATGGATTTTTTTAGTTAAAATATATTTTGTTGGTTTCCATATGGACATTTTTTGGGTTTCGACGACAAATGATTTCGACTTAGAAATAATTTCTAAACATTTTCGTTCAATATTGCCGCTACCTTTCTATTACAGATATGTATTTATCGATTTATGATAAAAAAATAATGTTGATTTGAAAAAAAAAGATTTCCGAATTGTGAAAAAATGCCGCGGCTAAATATGTAATACAGATTCGTCAAGAATTTACAAAAAAAGAAAAAAAAAATGAAAGAAAGAAAGCAAAAATGTTCCATCCCTTCATTTTACTTCATAATAAATGCTTGATGTTTTAGGTAACGGAGTTTAAAAAAGTGGAAAAAAGAAAAATGATAAACGGAAAACCAATGACAATTTGGAACATGATGAATTCACTGCACTAAATCACAAATTAGAGATTAATTTGACAGGGTATGAATACGTTAGATCATATGTGGTGCTGTGTTAGAAAAACGAGGACCAGAAAAATGTAATACCAGACCATTTCTGAGATATCACTCGATCAGAAATCTGTTTTCTGAGCAATACTATTCCTCCATGATGAGTATCTCGATATTACATACCATTATACCACTTTAAACAACATGCCAGGATTTCTACTTATCCTACCCTGTATCGTTAAATGATACAGGACATCGGGATCTGACTAGCAGGTTTTTACAGACTTCAAAGCTGTATAGGAGACTATTCTATTTTGTGCATTGCACTTGGGAATATTAAATAACTCCTGATCATTTGCAATATTCAACCAACCATGATCATTCAGATCCATTCCATTTTCGAATTGCCATTTTCTTATATGTATTTTTTTCAAAGCTGCATGATCGCCCGGATAATATGATTGTGTATTGTGCAGCATTTATCTTTTGTTCAATGAAGCTTAGGTTTAGTGAAGTTTGACAACACTATCAATGTCATAAAAGAGACTAAGAATTCTAATAAACAAACTACAAAAGCAAGAAACTAAAGCAAAGAAAATTATATAAACAAACTAAAATCCCCCAACTCTCAGGTGTCTACCGTATTTCATGCTTCGAGACAGTCCCTGATAATAAAGAGGTCGTTTTCTATTTGGAGACAATCCCTACCTTGGACAACGGTGGTCAGACATATTTTTTCCATTCGGTTCTTTAAGAAATACAACAAATTCAAAGACGTCATCACGGATTCAAAGAACACAGAAAAAACACGTGTATACGAACGAAACAGAACTATATCCTTACAAAGCGGCCATACAGTATAACACATTTGTTTTCTGGACTGACCGCTACCTACTCTCGTTGACCGAGCTCTACACGTAAAGCAGTCACTGTTGAGGCTTCAGTCTCGTTTTGCGTGATTATTTCGGAGCTGTTATAGTCCATCTTTATGTTATGCTTATATTTGTTGTGGACAATTCTTATCTGTGTCAATGACTCATCTGACTTGTTTTCTCCGTTTTTGTGATTACTTGTAAGGCGGCGATGAGAGTGGGAAGTTCCGGTATCTGACACAATAACTTGACTGTAACAGGATACAGTTTCAATATTTCGTTTACCTTTACCATTAAATCGTACCAGGGTTACCTGACCATTCAATGTAAATTCACATATCTATGACGAAGTATATAACATTCTAACCATCAGTCGTTTTGTTTTCATGAAATGATTCCTAAATTATATTCCGGAACTCTCGGTGAAATCCAAATACACGTACTACATATATAATGTATAAGGACATCTTGAAATAAGCGGAGAAGCGCCATTCTAATCTATAAGAACTCGTGACTTTAACTTTTTTTTAACTTTGTCTCTTTATGACAAATTATATACTGGCGTGTTAAGATCAAAGGCGTGTCAGAAATCATACACAGATTCTGAAAAAGGAATTGTCTTCAGATTAAAATAGTGAATCACAGGGGAGTTCCGAAATGAGTAATTACCGAGAGACCCAGAAAGTTTCTCATGAACCGATTTTATTCAGTCTTCAGTCCGAAACTTAAGGACATCATTTGTAAGTAGAAACCTCGAGGACTAGGACCAGAACAAAGATTCTATGTCAATGACCTTTTACACATGGCTGATATTCAGCAGTCGAGCATGCCTGTATGCATTCTTTTGGTGAAAGGAGTACCAGAGGAGAAAGCAATGTTTGCATTCCATGTTTCGTCGTTAATTACATTGCACCTGACTGATTGTGTCACGTGGTACACTCGGAGACAAGACGACGGTGTGAACTCCTAAAAAGCACGAAGCGCGTGTTTATCACGTTATCGACTTGGTAATGAATACTCGCCACACACACAGTAATGAATGCTCACCACACACACCACATGCCATAGAGGGTTGAGAGATAACAAAAACATCATTCTTGTAATTAATTTGACCAATTGTAAGAGTCAATACATAACCTCTTAATTTGACAACCAATCAGAAATGATCTCTTATCTGTCAATGGTAATCAGTTTGGGTTTTCATGGTTAATGTCCAGGGAGCTATTTATTGGAGAATGCATGTTTTCCCTGTGAACAGACCTGCGTCATTACAACCATGACCGATGTCTCTGATGAAATGTACCGACTTATCTGTCACGCTATCAGAGAATGTATGACTTGTCTAAATGGACATAAGTATTTTGATGAATTGACTTTTATCGAAGTTCACGCAAGATAAATAGCTCCAGAACTACTACCCACTATCTCATCCGTCAACAAATGTCACGTGACCACACATTTTATCTAAGACAATCGCAAGTTTAAATGAAGCTTTGTTCTTTATCATTATTTTTTAAGTTAATAATTTTGTTTTTGTTTTTATTATTTCGTTTTTTTCTTATGTTTACAAAATGCCCTTGTTCATTAGGCTACTCACACTGCGTGCCTTGTGCGGGCACGCAATATTTCACAAAACACTTCGTGAACGTATTCTGGGTACCACCTTGATGTGTTGTGATAAAACTTGAGAAAACGAATAACAAAATTAATGGTGCATCCTGCAAAGCATATTGGTCACGCCATAAAACAAACGGAAGTACAGGGAAAAGCATGTTTTACGAAAGTCGTCTGTTAGGAAGAAGGTGCGAACCTTGTCAGATTGATGACCAGGCCATTGCAGCAACAGAAATGGATGTCAGCAATAGAATGATGTATCGTTTCGTACACAATACAGAGTGTTGATTTTCTGATGGTTCTGTGTGGCGTAACATTAAATGGCATTGCTCACTATGCACCTCTCTCCAAAGTGTTTTCAATTCAAATGGAAAATAGCCCAAGTGTTCCTCCTTTGTTTTCTGATTGACATGTCTACGAGGTAATGTCACGAACTTTTAAAGGTCATGAAACAAGACATGCAATCAGGTTTCGGTGGGTTTAAAAACTTACATGTTTTGGTTACAAAGAAAATGATAGATGGGATGAAATTGCTCCAGCATTGGATCGATATTACATTTTACAGAAACCTTTCGATAGAATTGCTTTTCGCTGAGCTTTGATATTTGATACGAAAAATGTCAAAATTTTTACTTATCACATCACAACAAGAAAGGTGTCATCACGACAATAAGGCCAAATAGGCAATGTAATTCCATTTTAGTTTGGGTTCGCTATAAAGAGGATGCGTGAGAGATTATTGACATCAAAAACAAAAAACCCCAAACAAACAAAAATAAATAAATAAAAATTAACATGTCGCTGTCGCGTATACATTTGCAATTGAAAAAAGTTAGAAATTCTAATACCAAATGTTTTTTGCGGATCTTAAGGGAAATATGTATCGTGTCATACAGATAATGAAAACCGGGACAGCTAACAAAACAAAATCCGCTTCAAGTATTCAGAACTCAAAAGTGATGATCCTACTCTCAACTTTTTTGACGTTTGCACCTCTAGAAACGACAGGTGATTATGAAATGAAAAGTTGTTTCTCAAACCGTACTAATTTCGTACCCAATTAATCAGCTAAAGATCGCACGGAAATTATGATTGGCATAATGAAATAAAATATGCACTGTGACTGTCCGGATGAATTCGCTAACGTCATGACTGAAGTATCCAAATTGTCAGTCAGCACTCTTACACTGCTAGGTAACAGACATACACCGGGAAAAGATCGTAATGTACCAAAAATAGATTTAGAAAAGCAGACAATAAATATTCTAAAACATTTTTGAACAGATGATGGGTCGCCGTTGATTGGTAACTCACTGATGTACCTGGCATGGTTTCAGAGAAATGTCTTGACCTTTGACATGTAGGTCAAAGGTT